GTGGCGTTATTGTAGACTAATGGGTGAGATTCTATTAAAATAAGGGTATAATAGTCTCTTAACCCATTGTTAGTCTCATTTTTGGAAAATTGAAATAAAGGTCTCCTTTTTGTTCATAGCTCTTTTTTTAGTATTATTTTAGACATAACCCCAAATTTATTTACTAATTTACGGTGAAAATTTGTTAAAAGTTCTCCACCTAGCGATTTAACAAAGAAACACATACTATAATTTATAAGTAGGTGTACGTAAAACATGGACTTTACCGTTAGCTATAATTTACTAAATAAGATTTGTCTAATTTTATAAAAACATATTCGGGTACAATTTTTTCAATAAAAAGTAAACAGGTCCTATTTGAGCTAGGTATAAAAAACAGTGGTTGTGCACTTTGTCTATGTTTCTTTTTCTCATGATATATACTCCCTCCGTCCCTAATAACTTTGCCAAGTTTGACCGGCACAGAGATTAATAAAGTAAAAACTGTGTGGTTGAGGTTTGTGCAGAGGAGAAAGAATTAACTGAAACAACAAATTCTTTGCTTAAATGGGAAAGTAGCAAAGTTAATGGGACATCCAAAAAAATAAAATTTGTAAAGTTATAAGGGACGGAGGGAGTATGATAATGTCGCAGGGCCGTCAAATAAATTTGGAGGCTCAAATTCAAAATGCAAATTTGAGGCCCTATTTTAATATAAAAAATTGAAAAATATTTTTGAATACTCAAACTGCAATTCTTATTATACTCAAACTAATTGAATACTTATTAAATAATGCAATTAAATAATAACCGGTAGTAACCCCCCCCCCCCCCCACCCCTTCAAATAATTAATCTCAATATTTTTTGTAAAGTGTTTCAATTTATGAGGGCATTATTATATGGAGTAGTGGAGTATGAATTTAGCTGCAACTCATATTCATATGCGATAGATAGTACTCGTATACACTATTAGACCATTTATAGTGGTTGAGAGGCCAAATTGTTAAAAATGGTCTCCGTCGATATGAAAACAGTGTTTAGACTCTCATGTTCTTGCATTCCAGCACCGTCAATAAAATACACTAAGCATATATTTTAATCTGTCAATTTAGCAAAACATTAATTAAATTATTATAAGTAATGTTTTGCTTTTAATTTTTTCGCTGAATAATTATGAAATAAAAATACATATTTCGATGTAAAAATAAATAAATTTAATTAATTTTTTTAACTTTTTTTTGGTTAACAAAATATGAACTTAGTTCAAGTAAAGTTCGATTATGGAATATTCAATTATTTGTGAAGGATCCATGAATTAAAAAATCGTGTTTCATGTTTTTCCGAGGTTTAAGAAAACTTCACCAGTTAAAACTTAAAAAAATCATATAATATATTACATATTGATATCATATGAAAGATCATAAAAAATTATGAATTTTGATATATTTTTTGAAAAATTTGGATAAAAAATAAAAAAGTTATACCAGTTTAAAAAAAATTGGGATATTATGATGCAGCGATGACATCAGGGTGACATCATCCGCACAAAAAAGCAACCCAGGACCGTCCTTTTCTTCTTTTTTCTTTCCTTTTCCCACTCCTCTTAACCAACCCTCTATATTTAACCCCTCCATCCACTTTCCCATTTTTAATACCCCTTTTAAATTACCACTACACACAATTAGGAATCCAAAAATTCTATATTTAGCTTTTTAGACTCCTAATACCTCACCACTCCAAATGGTGTTAAGGACTTATAAATAAAACTACACAGGGGTCAACCTATTAAAGTGTTTCAATTTATCAGGGCATTATTATACGGAGTAGTATATTACTCCCTCCTTCCCGCTAAGATCTTCCTGCTTTCCTTTTTTAGCCGTCCCAAAATGATCTTCTCATTTTCCTAAATGGAAAGTTATCCTACATCAAAACAATGTCAAACAGTGCAAAACAGTGCAGAAAGTGTCAAACAGTGTCAAACAGTATCGAAATAGTGTACTCTACAGTAAAGTTAAATTTATTTTCTAAATATGTGTGTAGGTCAAAGTAGAAAGTTCTTAACGGGACGGAGGAAGTATTATATTATATAATTACATAATTAATTAATTAATGTTAGTGACCTGAAATAAAACTACATAGGTGTTAATTTGTTAGGAGAAGTAGCTCATATCTTAATATAATGTTTAATTCTTTCAAAGATATCTGGTGTGAGACTTTAGCATACTGCCGGGTAAATATGGGGGCCGTGGGAAGTGGGGCCCTGTTCGTGATTAACATTACGAGATACTAATGTGCATACTGCACTCCATAAAATGACGTAATTGTCCTTATGAATCATAATAAACGAGATGCATTACAAATTAAAGAGGATAATTAAAGCCCGTTTGGTAGCACGAAAATCGGTTTATTTGGTTGTTTTTCTTTTCTAAAATTTATGAAGTTCTTGCTGAAGTGGCTGCATTGACTGATTCTGTTGATTTAAGAAAAATATTATTTTTAAAATATACTCCATCCATCCCAGAAAATTCTTCCCACTTTGACTTGGCACAGAGATTAAGAAAGTGGAATAAAGTGGAAATGTGTGGTTGTGGTTGTGTAAGAAAAAGTTGAAATGAATGTGAACCGCACAAATTATCCAAAAAAAGGAAAGTGGGAAGATTTTTTTGGGACGGCCCAAAAATGAAAGTGGGAAGAATTTTATGAGACGAAAGGAGTATTTTATTAAAAAAAATAAAGAAAAATTTATATATAAAAATAGCTAAAATGGTCATCTACTGTAACTTCAGCCAATACAGCCAGAAAAGTAACTCAAACCTTACTTTTTCTACTTATTACATAATTCAGCGCGCGAAAGAAAAAAATTATGTGTTTGAAAAAATTGATCGATAAGTCTGATAAGTCGAAAAACAGTATTGCCAAACGACCTCTGGGTTCGATGGAGTGTAGCAAAATATCTTTGAGATTGACTTTCTAGAAGTTGGTGGTATCTCAAATCTCGATGCTTTGAGATCCTCTTGATTCCAAACCGTCATTTGTGGGAAATTTATACCGCGAACTTTCTTTCCCCATTTGGGTAAGTGAGGGTTGATATTTTCTCTACCAAATTCATCTCCTCACTCTTTCGTTAAAGGTGGATAGTTCTCTATCCCAACTTGATGTATTTTAGGGAACACTATTTTATTATTTTCAATGTGTCAACCCCAAATTGTTAAAATTAAAAAATCATATCCTCTAACAATTACGATAAAATTTCAATGAATCTTTCTTTTGCTAATTGTTTATAGGTGATAGTTGTTTTTATCCAAAAAAAGAGGTGATAGTTGTTTTGGAGAAAGGCAATGCATATTGAAAAAATTAGAATATGACTAAAACAAAGATAAAAGGGAAAGTTTCTGAAATAGGACTAAAAAAGTTTGAAAATTCCAAAATAGGACTGTCATGTTTTTATTCCCAAAATAGGACTAATTACTGCCAAGTTTGGAAAATACTGTCATATTTGAAGTCTAGTACTGCCAAAACATGGCAATAATAAGTCCTATTTTGAGAATAAAAACATGGAAATCCTATTTTGGAATTTGCAAACTTTTTTAGTCCTATTTCGGGTAATATCTCAAGATAAAACTCATAAATATGATCATTGTTTTATTCTCAAAATAAGATTCATTCACTCCTATTTGGAGAAGTTTTATCCAACTTATTCTTTTAGTATGATTAAATGAGTCATATTTGGACAATAATTAGTCTTGTTTTTGCACCTTTGATATCTTTTGATCTTATATTGAGCAATTTCTAATACACGTTCTAGTAGTTGAAATGTGTTAAGAAAACAAAACAGTAGAAATTAAACTGCTTCTGTAAAAATAAAATTTTGACCATTCTGTGGCAATTGGAGTTAGAGAACAAGCATATATTTTTAAATCACATACAATTTCAATTTTCAAAAGGACAATACATTCCACTCTTAAGTTGAAGGGTGAGGTTAGATAGACATTTTTGTTGTACAATATTTGAATTTTTTAGCGGTAGCTAGTGGTGTCGGTTCGGACCGGAGTCGGGCGATTTTTTATTTTTTATAATTAGACTCGGTCTGGCGATTCCCAATCAAAACATTAACAGAATCTCATGGAACCGGTCCTGGACCCGGTGACTCAAAATGGGGACAAGAACCATGTAGTCCGCTCCCAAATGGATAAAGGAATAAGGACACAAATAGTACTAATAGCTTTGTGAAATACAAAAAAAAAGTAGAGAAAATTGTCCAAGGTAGGACTAAAACTCAACCTTTTTCTCAAAATAGGACCACATGCATGTTTTTCTCTAAATAGGACTAACCTTACCTTTTTTACCCCTAATTCTATTTAATTAATTAATTAATCTAAATAATTGCCCCCCCTAGTTTCCTTGCACAACCAAGGCAGTCCGTCGGTGGCGTGGCAGTCCGTGGTGGCGGCAGCACTCCGGCAGCGGCCGGCGGCGGATTCCGGCGGCGGCGGCGGCAACTCCGGCAATTAATTAACCCAATTAATTGCCCCCCCTAGTTCTCTTGCACAACCAAGGCAGTCCGTTGGTAGCGGGGCAGTCCGGAGGTGGCGGCAGGTTGGCGGCAGTGGAAGAGGCGGTTTCCGGCGGCGGCGGCGGCGGCCGGCTGCAGGTGGCGGCAGAATGTTGGCAAACCTCCAGAAAAAAAATCTGGAATTTTTCCGGCGGCGGTCGCCGGAGCTCCGGCGGCGGCAGGCGGCGGCGGCAGGCGGCAGGCGGCGGAGGCAGGCGGCAGGCGGCGGTCCGGCAGTCCCTGGGCAGCAGTGGTAAAGGTTGTGAGGGGTATTTTGGTCCAATCACTAATAAAAAGTCCTATTTAAGGATGTTTAAACTAGGTACTCCTATTTTGGGAAAAAAGCCATGTTTTGATCCTATTAAGGTAAATCTCCCAAAAAAGTACTCCGTAACTACTTTTCTTTTTTCCCAAAAATAGCACTTTTCCAGCCCATCACTTAATTCACTTTACATCTCAGCCCATACTTTCCGTCTCTGAAGCCAAGTCTACACCATCAAAGGACTCCCAAAGGCCATCGCAGGAGCAGAGAAATCATCTCCCATGCGTTGCAGGAGCAGAGGAGACCACCCCCAAAGTCATCGGCGTCGCCTCCACGGACAGGGTAGACAGATCGCCGCCGCCGCCACTGTCTTCTCCCTACGCCTCGCCTCCGCCGGCTACCGAGGTCGCGGCCGTAGATATTCCGTCGCCGCCGCCCTATTTTGGGCTAGGGTGAGTCGATTCTTCTTCTTCTTCTTCTTCTTCGATGTGCGATACCTTCTTCTTCTTCTTCTTTGCTTGAATCGTCGTCTTTGTTGTTCGTCGGCTTCAACGACCATTCAGCCGCCCTATTTCAGATATGGGGGTTGTTGGGCCTGCTGGAGCTCGGGCGAGACAGGGAGGTGGTAGTTTGAGTTGCTGTGAATCGCTGGGGTCACGTTGCGGCGGCGGCGTAGTGGTGGAGTGCGACAGTTGCGTGGCGGCGGCGTGGAAACTGACCGGAGGGCCTTGATCAGAGTACCTTGTATGTAACTGTGAATTTTTCACTACGGAGATGTAACCGCGGACTTGTCACTATAATTGGGTCACTGTGGTGGTTATGACAGATTGACGGTGGTGACGAGCTATAGGTCTAGGGTTCGGGTTGAGGATTGGGGGTGAGGTCGGTGCCTGGTGGTGGTGGACATCGGCCAGTGGTCGGCGGCGTAACTGTGGATGGAGTAACTGTGGCCGGAGTTGTTGTGACCGATGTCACTGTGGAAGTATCACTATGGACATGTCACTGTGGAACCGTAACTGTGACCGGCAACAATTAACGGTCGGCGGCGATCCCTGACCAGTGGCGGGTTGGTGTCACTGCGGCGGATGTCACTTTGGGGGTTTAATTGTGGCGGGTCATGTAACTATAAGACAAAGTAACTACGAATTAGGGATAATTATGTAAGTTTAAGGCTTACTAGTCACATTTCTGGAAATTTTTAAAAATGGTTACTTTTTGGTCAATCATCCCATTTTTAGTACTATTTATGGCAAAACCCCATGGATAAATTTCATTTTCTTTTTACTTATATATTTGCATTGATTATTTTTATGTATAATATAAAATTGTAATAACTTAATTTATTTATACAGACCCACCAAAAGGATTTAGAGAAGTAAGATAATACTTTCCTAAGATATTGAACAATGACGGCTGTAATTTATATTTTAGGATAGGAGATAATAATAAATATGGGAAAATACACATTGCTAATTTAAGAGATACGTAGTACGTAATAAATATGGGAACACGTAGTAATAATGCATGTACATCCCCCGACCCCCATGTATATATATGTAATTAAATACTTAATGAGCTATTTATTTGATAACTACGATTTTACCAATCCATGATTAATTAGGATATAAATATGGGAAGATATGGTTATTTTGAGGACATTACGTTACAAAAAGCTTTTATTTGTAAGAAATATACTACGTATTATTATTATTACTAGTATTATTTATTAGAGTTACTAGTATGATTATTAAAGTATAAATATCACATTTTTATCCATTGAATTGCTCTTATCATAGTCAGATATACAATATTCTTCATTTTTTATACTTATGATTTCAATTTCCAAAAGTTTAAAAAGCAATAAAATACTATGGAGTACAATATTAAATAGAATCTAATTAAAGGCTATTTCTAGTCGATAGAGTAATGGAGTGAATATACCAATTTCGATATAATTCAACTTGGAGAAGTTTACATTTGATGCCTACTTGGAAGGGGAGTGCAAATATCCACCTCAAATTTACTCCGTTGAAAAATGAGTACAACAAAGGGACATAGCGGGCAGCTTGGGCCCATCTGCACGGGAGGCCAATAGCTTTCGTTGGAAGAAAAAGTCAATTTATACATAAATTGAAGCACTTGTAAAAAGAGAACAAGTTTCCGGTCCAAATCTTGGATGGCAGTTGAACCCGATATCTCTTGTTTGTGGCATCATCTTCCCACCATGTGAGCTACACGGCTACATGAACCAGCTTAAATTTTGTGGAAAAAGATTGAGATTTAAATTCAGATTTTTTTGAAGTTAAATTTGAGACATCTCCCTTGTGACACTCTCTAGTTTTCTTCGTTATATAAGCTACGGCCCCAACAAAAAAGTCGGTAATATGACGCTTGATCATTTTGACACTCTTTAATAAAAAAAATAAGACATAATGATTGGCTGAACATATACTATCGTATATAGTTAAAGTAACTTTTTCCTTTGTTTCCAAAAGTTCTTGATTTGAAAAAACTATACAAACTCTTCATTTCTCTCAATTAATCGCACATTCCTCACTAATTTTCATACAAAGCTCATGTCATAATATGAGTGTTTGGAACTGATTCTGCTTCTGCTTCTTTTTTAAAAGCAGAAGCAAAATCAGAATCAGTTTTCAGAAGCTGGTCATCTCCAGCTTCTAAAAGAACTGATTCTAGGAGTAAAAAAGAGCACCAAAATCAATTATGCACTTTCACCCAAACATTCCAGCTTCAGCTTCTGCTCCCTCAAGGAGCAGAAGCAATTTTAAGAATCAAATCCTAACACCCTCTATATTGGACACATCAACTTTATGTCTATAATAGTTTTATGCAAGTTTATATAAAAAGGGGCGCCTTTTTAAATTGTGAAGGGATTAGAAATTCAAGGCGTCGTTATTCTGTTAAAATTAACATACAACTTTCTCTTTTTAGTTTTGCTCTAACTTCTCTATATCTATTGTCCATGGTTCTAATCATCAAATGTAAATACTTTATGATGGAAACATTATGAGGTAAAAAATCGTGATTTAGATTCAAGGATGAATTTAGGGGGTGTGCCTTTGGACTTTCATTTTTTTTTAAATATATGTAGTATTTTCGTACAATGTTCATACTTTAATTAGATATATATGTATTCATTCCCTTAACTTTTAATTTTAAAAATTAATGTAGTCTTACACAACACACACAATACGTAGGACTTAATAGGAGATTTAAAAAAATAAACGTCTAAAATAAGTTACTTTAGAATGAATTGCTAAAGTTACAATGGGATGAGACATAGAGCGGAAAAGATCTAATGAATCATTTCAGATCGCTAACCCTGTAATGATGTAGTCTAGTCTAATAGTCTTACTATTCTTCTTGTTACTCCATAGAGAAAATAAAAATTAGGACTAAAAGACACAACTTCACCAATCATTGGAAAGGGAGAATTGGTTTGACCAGCAACCGAAACTCAATTGAGCAAAAATTTTCCGGATCTTCTTCTTCGAGTGAGGCTGTCGTTCAGGAAGAGGCGAGTAATTACTTGGAGCTTCAGAAGAATTAGGTTGAATCTGTCTTGCCAACCATGAATTATGACCCACTCGGTCGGTTACACCGACGAGGAAGACAAAGCATATAGACATTGCTAGGAGAAGGACAAAACACACGCTCACATGAAGCGGGCTCAACTCTCGATCAAAGAAGATATCACACCAATACCAGAACCCTATAAGATAAAAATAAAAAGAGAGAGTGACAACATAGCAAAACCTTTGATTCATTAAAGTCTAAAGAACATCGTAATCATCAAAACTTTGTCAATCTGAGAGAAGAAGCCAGAAGAGTGATCGTCAAGGAGCTCGTCCGCCTACGGTTTCCCTAGGACCGGCTCATGTTGAGTGACGTGACTTTAGTAATCTAAAAATAAGTTATTAACTTATTATGTCACCACATTGTAGTAATTATTAGTCATATTTGTGTAAATAAGTTTTATTTTAATACTCCGTATTATTTTTTAAAAATCCCCTCATTTATTTATTTATCTTTCAAAAGTCCAAACGTGCCGTAACAAAATCTCATGAGACACGCAATAATTTTCAAGAATTTCAGTGTCTATGCAAAACAGAGTCAATCGAGATTTACGAATTTATTGATTTATTATTCACATGTTGTTTCTATTCTCGGTTTCTTGCCTTAAATTTATTTCTTCCCATTGTTTTACTCCACAGCTTTGACTCATTTCTTTCTTATTTTTATAGAAAAGTTTATTTGATTTATCCGACGCCATGAAATTCCGTTGAGAAAGGGATCGTCGCCATCGTCATCTTCGTCTTTTTCTTTGCTTTTCAAACCCCCTCCCCCCCCCCCTCCAGACGCAAGAGACCGCTTAGATTGATAGCGTGGCAAAAACGTAATTCCCAAACTCCTATCAATTTTTCCCCCTTTTCTTGACTCCTATCCCATGTTTCTCCCTATATATCTTCGCGTCTAAATGTGTTATCCGAAACTGCCGGTTTCACTTTCCCCGGGAAAAAAAGAAACAAATTAAAACATAAAAGGCAGTTTTGTTTCCATTGTTTTTGAAGAAAAGTCTGTTTTTGCCGCAGGTTTGTGCTATCTTTACGGGTAAATTTTAAATCTTTCGGTTAACCCGACGTGGGTTTTGACTTTATAGATCAGTAATTTTCGCCGGAATCTTGCTTTTCCGGTCACCGGGAATTCTATTCCATTGACTATGACGCAATTTTAATAATTCCATGACAGCGAGAGAAATGGAAATATTTAAAGTATCTGTTACCTAGTATTTCTACATTAATCCGTATATTATATGATAGTATTAAATACGATAGTATATAATAATACTCCGTATGTAGATATATAGATAGTTCAGTTACGGATTTCAGTATTTTTGCATAAATAAATTCATTAGTTGCGAAAAGTGAAAGTTTGTTTACTGTTTCTCTTGTATAAAGAGTTCAAGAATCTCTTCATTTTTTACCTCAAAGTTCATCTGATTTGCCTCTGAGTTTCGGTTCTGGTTTATATCATCTGTTTCTTATTGGATCTCTTCTGTTTGGCGGATCATCGCAGAGAGAGGAAGCTCAAACCCTCTGTTTCTCTGTTATCCTTTCTGCGGTTTCTGCAATTTGCGTTCATTTTCATCTGCTATGGAAAGGAGCTCAATGCAATCCAATCTTGAACGGTTTTTGAATTGCACCACCCCTGTAGTAAATTCTCAGTATTTGCCCAAGGTTTGCTTTTTGATTTTTCATTGCTTATTTTGGGTGCTGGTGATGATTGATACAGTCTAATACTCATATGTGAATTGTGAGCAGAGTGAGGTAGGGAGCCTTAATAGGCTGTGGCATCATCCAGTGGAGAGTGGGGAGGGGTTTGAATACTTCACTTTGGCTGATCTTTGGAGCTGTTATGATGAATGGAGTGTTTATGGGGTAGGTGTTCCGATTCGCTTGGACAACGGCGAAAATATTGTGCAGTATTTTATTCCTTATCTATCTGCACTTCAAATCTTCACCACCGGTGCTTCCATAAACTCTCTAAGGTGCCATTTTTGCACTCTTTGTTTGGACAGCCCTCGCTTGTTTAGACAGTCTTATTTAGGATGGAGTTCGTCTCAAATTTACTTGTAACAGAATTTTATATGTGGAGTGCTGGTTACTTTTTAACTTTGATGATGATGAAATAAGTAAGTTTGGGATTACGCTGATTGTGTGCCATTTTTTAAATGTAAAATAGGGACGAAAGTGATTCGTCATGTGAAACAAGGGATTCATATAGTGATTCCTTGAGCGATGAGAGCGAGAGTGACAAGCTGTCGAGATGGGACGGAAGTTCTTCTGATGAGTATGATGGCCTCTTGCAATCAAATTCTAGATTGGGTTATTTATATTTCCAGTACTTTGAGCGATCAACTCCATATGGAAGAATTCCTCTCATGGATATGGTATGTGATTTACTGTTTCAAGCTGATCTTTTTGCCCTTTGTTTAAGATCCTCCCAGGCTCTAATTCTTTGTAGAATTCTTGCTGTCTTTAAACGCAAGATGTGCAAATTTTTATTGACTACTGAGACAAGATATAGTATATATATCCTAATTGTGTTGGGCTGTTCAAGTGCGGATAACACAATGACATTAATATGCCTCTTTCTTAAATATTTCAATGTCAGACACTTCTAAAAGCCAGTTCTAATGTTCTATGAAGTTTAAATGTCAATGTTTTCATTTTGAGATTTATAGTACATCTCATAACTCAACAAAATTTGTATTCCTTCTGTTTAGGTGATTCTCTATGCTCTTAAGAACATTGTTCTTTCTTCTTTCAGTAACAAGCTTAATATATCAGTCTACAAATTACTTGTATTGCTTTCTTACTTTTTTTGTGCATTTACGTCAATCTGATATGTCTGTTTTGTCTTCTTATAGATTACTAGCTTAGCTCAGAGGTTCCCTGGAATTATGACACTAAGAAGTGTTGATCTTTCACCTGCTAGTTGGATGGCAGTAGCGTGGTATACTCCGATTTCTTTAATGTAGTTAAAGAAACCATATCATGAGCATTTTAATGATGTGCTTAAAATTCATTCAAGTGTTGTAACTCTGGTTTTCACATGTTTATTATCTTCCTACAGCAGATCATAGTTTAGTTTATACTATCTGTTATGATGCAATGTGCAATAAGTTTTGCTGACTAGTTTTTCAAAAGTATTAAGCTTTAAAAACACAACTTTACCCAGATCTCCTTTTCAACCTAGTAACAGTAGTAAGTGACATGCCTTTGAAAAAGTAGTTTATTCTTTGGTACATTTTTGCTCATTTGAGCTTTAGTATGCTTTGAAGCAGCATAAAGAGTGGAGGTCTTATATGAAAAGGTCAACATATAGGAGTAGGTCAATGTGGTAAATGGAATAAATGATGTCACTAATGATGCAAGGAATACTCAGGTACCCAATATATCATATTCCCATGGGAAGAACCAGCAAGGATCTGTCCACTTCCTTTCTCACATTTCACACAATTTCCTCTTCTTTTCAAGGTACCCTTTTAAATCAACTTTATCATCAAGTATTTACCATGTAACTATAACTCCATTCAACTTGTTCTCGCTGCTTTGAAATGCAGAATCAGAGCTTGATGATGAATTGAATAGTGTTAGTAGGAAGCGAAAAGGTGGGGTTGGAATCGCGGTCCCGCCATTTGGGTTGGCTTCATATAAGATGCAAGGGGATGTTTGGGTATTGGACAAAAGCGGGAAGGAGCAAGAGAGGCTGATGTCTCTTTTAAGCGTTGCGGATTCTTGGCTTAAACAGTTAGGAGTCCAACATCACGATTTCAACTACTTCGTGGGTATCCGTGGCTAGCCCGATCAAGCCACTAGCACATGAGGCAAAAACTTGCTAATAGCGGCACCTTGACCATGTTTCTAATATCCCTACCACGAATTTAACCATTTTGGATTTCAGATTTGAGACTTGGGTGTTTGTCTATATACTGCGTATATATGTGGTT